AGAGAGAGAGGAGAGAGAGAGAGAGAGAGAGAGAGAGAGAGAGACTTTGGGACAGGCTCATCCTAGGAAAGCCAGTGTCTCCATGATGCTTCAGCTTCTTCATGCACTTGACATGATTAGAATCACCTAGGAGACATACTTCTGGTTCTACCTGTGAGAATGTTTCCATAGAGGTTCAGCAGAGGCAGGAGGACCCACCATAACATGCATGGTATCCACACCATTGGCTGATTTTGAACTGAACAGAGAGGGAGAATGGGAAGGAGTCAGCCAAGCGCCAGCATTCATTGCTTCCTGCTTCCTGACTGTAGATGCAATATGCCTCTGCCCCCCCGCCCCCCCCCCACAGCTGGAGCCACTCACCCTTCCCACTGTGCCTTTCCCCTGTGGTGAAGTAGCGTCCACTCCAACTGTAAGCCAAAGGCAGCCCTTCCTTTCTCATGATGTTTTTTTGGTCAAGTATTTTGTTACAACAAAAAGAAAAAGTGGTTAATGCAGTCTTCTTACAGAAGTCCTCAGAGATTCCTGGTCTTCTGATAAAGCTACCCAGATAGAGTGGGTGAGGGCCCAAGTCATGTCGGAGAATGGGGCATGGCTTCCAGGAACCCCGGGCCATGTGGGAGGGCCCTTCTCCCCTTGCTTCTTGAACATCAAGAAAGGGATATTGATAATCCTAGCACTTGGGAGGTAGAGGCAGAAGGATCAGGAATTCAAGCCCAGCCTTGGCTACATAGCAAGTTTAAGGCCAGGGGGGGGGGTAAAAAAAAAAAAAAAAAAAAAAAAAAAAGAAAGCCCCAAAGCAGTGGATCTCAACCCGTGGGTCTCAACCCCTTTGGGGGTTGCATATCAGATACCCTGCATATCATACATTTTCATTACAATTCGTAACAGTAGCAAAATTACAGTTATGAAGTAGCAATGAAATAATTTTGTGGTTGGAGTCAGCATAACGTGTAGAACTGTATTAAAGGGTCGAAGCATTAGGAAGGCTGAGAACCACTGCCCCAAAGGATAAAGAAACAAAAAGAGCCCCCAGAGTCTTTGCTGAAGGCAGAGTTGGAAGGCAGATTAATCTCACAGATAGGTCTGGGCTTGTTGGAATGATGTTTAAAAACAGTCACCTAATCGTTGACTTTTCCAGGGTGTTCATTTGGTCTCACAGCTCAGGACATGCTCTGATTTATAGGGCCCAAGACTCCAGCAGCTCTGAGAAGAATTCTGTTTTTTTTTTTTTTTTTTTTTTTTTTTTTTTTTTTTTTTTTTTTTTTTTTCAGTGCTGGAACACATGGGAAAAGGAGGAAGCAAGGGACTATGCTGAAATGTTGGGAGTCAGGGGACAGGGTTGGGGGGTTCTGGTTGGAAAGGATGCTTCCATCTTTCTTTGGCTACAGACCCTTCAGCAAAGGGTGGGTGGGATGGAAGTCCTGTTTTTTGTCACAAAGTTCAGCCATGTTTGTCAGTCAGCAAGAGCCACGTGTGCTGGTCACTCACTCTGTCATTGGACAAATAAAGGGGCTTATAGCTAGTAAGTGATAGAGTCCAGCTTAGGATCCATTTCTTCTGTTGCAAAGTTTGGTCTCCCCCAGGACACAGAAAGCACTGCCCAGTTCCAAGGGAGGAGGGCATGAAGCCTGGAAGCAGGCAGGCTTTGTTCCAGGTCCTGCCACTGCTGGTATGAACTGAGTGAATCTCAGTGTTCTCATAAATAAAGTGGACACAGCCAGTGACACTCTGGGGCTGGCTGTTCTGGCTCCTGAAATCCAGCTCCTCAGTCATACCAGGTGGCAGACCTTGGACATGGCCAAACCCTACAAATGGGATTTTCTCCTTGATGGGCTGCTGTCAAGTGTTTACCAGCATAGCCATGGGAGGCTTGTGGGGGGTTATCTTGATTGAGTTCATTGAGGCGGAAAGATCTACCCACGGTGGGTGGCACCATTCCCTGAGTTAAAGGAGAAAGCTGGCTGAGGACAGGCAACCATTGCTCACCTCTTTTTTTTTTTTTTTTTTTTTAAAGATTTATTGTCTGTTTTTATATTTATTATGTATACAGCATGTGTGCCTGCATACCAGAAGACAGCACCAGATCTCATTACAGATGGTTGTGAGCTACCATGTGGCTGCTGGGAACTGAACTCAGGATCTTTCGAAGAGCAGCCAGTGTTCTTAACCTCTGAGCCCCCCCCCCCAATTGTTTATGTCTTCCTGACTGCAAGTGCAATGTGTCCAGCTATGTTGAACTCTTGCTGCCTTGACTTATCTACCATGGGAGACTATAGCTCCAATGAGCCAAAATAAACCCCCTGTTCCTTAAATTGCTTTTGTCAGAGGATTTTGTCTCAGCAGCAGAAAAGTAATCAAGGCAGAAGCATTTTCAAAGGCATTTAACAATGTGTCCGGGGTGCCACAGACTGTATTTACCAGCATCCCTGTGTCTGCAAACCAAAGCTAAGGCTTTAAAAGCCAACCTCATGTTTTCATTTTTCAGAACATTCCCTACCCCCTCAGTGCCTCTGCAATGGCTTCTTTTGTGATGGAAAACTACCAGTATTTATATAGTTTTGTGATTAGAATGTTGTAAAGATTGAATGAATGAGTGTAGTGCTTAGACTAGTCCAGGACCCCATACACTGTCAAATGAATTCCCTTCTGGTTAAGTCTATCACCATTTCTGCCCCCTGCCCCCTGCCACTCATGCTCTCTCATGCCTGGGTACCTTTGTCCACACCATCCCTTCCTGGAATATACTCTCTTCACTGTTTCCTCTGGGAAGTTCTTCATCATTCTTCAAGTCTTCTCTTGGTGCTATGTCTTTGTCTCTGAAGACTGGAGTTCTCCCAGGACATCCTGAAGACTCTCTCCTATAGCCCCTGTATTGCTGGAGCTGCCTGCTCATGAGCCTGTGTGCCTCCAAAATTCAGGCCTGCTCCCAAGTCATTTAGCTAACTCTCAACACAAATGGGTCCTGGTGAAGATCCAATATTGTAGAGGCATAAATTTTTCCAAAATTTATCTATAAATTCAGTAAAAACCCAATAAAAAACTTAACAAGAGTTCTAAAAATGTAATTTTATAAGCTAATACTAAAAGTCATCTAGAGGGGAAAAAATGGACAAGAATAGCCAAGCAAGTTTTGACACACAACAGTGAGGATGTTACAGCAAATGTTAAAACATTTACTATAAAGTGATTAAAGCAGGTTGATCTTTGTTTCTGAATAGGTGATCTAGTCAATAGGACCAAGAAAGAGACAGATCCATGGAAATGCGGTGTATACTGAAGGGACATTTTTAGTTTCTCTTGTTATTTTTGAAACAGGGTCTTGCTCTGTAGCCCCAAATGACCTTGATATAGGGAGGACCCAGTGGAGATCCTTATGCCTCAGCTTCCTGAGTACTGGGATTACAGATGCGGACTGCCACATCTGGCCTAATCAGTAAGAAAATACTGTTCATGAAATATTCAGGGATAAGCAAGTTATGAAATTAGTGATGCCTTTACCTTAGGCTTCTGAAAAGAGAATTCATTCTAGCAATTTCAACCAGCAAAGGAATTTGGGGAAGGTATGTGCTATGGTTTGAATGTTGTTTGTCCCCTCTGAAAGTCATATTGAAATATGACTGCCATTGTGGCTGAGGTTGAAGGTGAGGCTTTTGAAAGACAATGATGTCATTAGGAGAGATTAATGTCTTGTTCAAGGGAGTGAGTTCTCACTCTCCAAGAACTGACTCAGCCACCAAGACAGAGGGCTGTTATAAAACAAGGCTGCCCAGTGTGATTTCCTTTTTCCACAGGTACCTGCTTCCCTTTTGGAATTCTGCTATAGAATGAAGCATCATGAGGCCTTCTCTGGACGCTGGCACCATGATCTAAAACTCCCCAGTCTCCAGAACCACAAACTAAAGAAACCTCTTGTTTGAGTCACCGGCAGGTATTGTTATAGCAACAGCAAATGAAGACACATGCAAGAAGTATAGAGAGTGTTGAGAAGAAAGGGTTTTGGTTGAGGTGACAGGGCAATTTCCATAGCCACAATACAGAACCAAGGCACTGCAGAAGACGGTGTCTCTGCCATGGTCTGGAAGCTTCAAGAAAGTAGGAAGTCTTTATCATGAATGCTATTTTGTAACTGCCCCACCTCTAGGATCCATGCTAGGCAAATGGATGATCTATTTCTTTCATCTCCATATAACTCAAAGCTCCATGTGATGTATCTGCTGAGGGATGTAGGAAGCAGATGCCGAGAGAGAGAGAGAGAGAGAGAGAGAGAGAGAGAGAGAGAGAGAGAGAGAGAAAAGAGAGAGAGAGAGAGACAGGAGGGATAAAGAGAAGAGGAAGCAGAAACAGCAGGCAACACTTTCCTGGCTTGATCAAGTTCTGACCCTGCAGAAAGGAAAAGGAGACAGTAGAGAAGCTGCTAGAATCAAGCTGCAAACTGGTGAGGCTGAGAGAGAGGCTGGGACTTTGCAAAGGTTGCTCGCAGAGGAACTCCATGGCAGGAAGATGGGGCCAACCTCTAACCCCCTCTGCATGCTCAGTCATTGGCTCTAAGCCAAATGCCTAAGGCTGTGGCATTTCTCAAAGATGACAGAGAAAATGTAGCTAATCTTGGGTTTGACAATGACTTTCTGAAGATACTTTCACACGGACACTTCAAAACATAATTTAACAAAGGAAAAGTTGCTAAGATGAATTTCATCAAAATCAAAGATTTCTACCCTGTGAAGGACATTGCTATAAAAAATGAAAACACAAAGCATGGGTAGGCAAAAAGTGAAACTCATATACGATTAAAAAAATTAAACCCTTCCATCTAAAATACACAACTGAGTCTTGAAATCCAATTTTAAAACAGCCAGTAGATCTGAACAAGCATGTAACTAAATGGAACACACAGGTGACAAGTAAGCGTGTGGAAAGATAGGCAATGGCAGATTCAGACACGAATCACAAAGCAGAGCATCTGGGATGCCGTGCACATGCCATCTGACATGGCTAAAATCCTGAGCACTGACAACATCACACGCTGGCCAGGAAGTGGAGCAAGAGCTCTCATTCATAGCTGGTGAGAATGCAAATGGTACAGCCACTTTCTAAGGCAGTTTGGCACTTTTCTTACAAACCTAAACACAGTCCCACCATATGCTCCAACAATTATGCTCTTAGGTATTTGCCAAAATGAGCTGAAAACGTTGTCCACACAAAAAACCTGTATGCAAATGTTTATAGCAGCTTTGTTCATAATTGCTAGCAACTAGAAGCAACCAAGACATCCTTCAGTAGGTGAACGGCAAGCTGCAGCATCCAAGTACAA